CTTGAGCTCGTCGAGCCCCTTCTCGAGAGCGGCCTGGAAGAAGTCGCCCCTCTCGGCTGCCTCGCTGGGAGGGGGTCAAGGTTTGGTGGATCGGGGGGCCCTCAGGACGAGGAGGAAGAGGCTGAGGAGGTGGAGGAGGTGGAGGAGGAGGAGGAGGAGGAGGAGTCGAGGGGGAGGATAGGTCCTCCTCTTCTGAACTTCTCCTCCTCCTCCTCCTCCTCCTCCTCCTTCTCCTCCTCCTCATCCTACGTGCCGTTGGTTCGAGCGTTCATTGTTCGGCATTCCGACGCCTGCTTCAGCGCCAGCACCGCATTCTCGAGGTCGCCATTGAACTGCTCGAACTTGCCCCAGCCCTCCGCGTCCTTGGCGATCTTCGCCAGGAGGTTGTCTGCCTGCATGCACGAGAGCGAGTACTTGGAGATCACGTCCTTGGCAGCCTTGAGGTTGCCGCTCCTAGTCTTGGCGGTGACGGCCTTAATCCCTTTGCCCCGGCTGCCTTTTCCTTTGCCTCGTCCGTTGCCCTTCCCGTTGACCTTGGCACCGCCGATCGGGGTCGACGGCTGCGTTGCCTTCGGCTCGGGGGTCGGTGGCTTCTTCTCCTCTGGCTTCTCCTCTGGCTTGTGCGCGGCAGCTCCACTGGATCCAACGGCACAGCCCGCTGGCGCTGCAACGTGCTTCTGCGGTGTCATGATTGTTGCTGCTGCAGCGGCTGGCTCGGCGACATGCTCGTGTTCGTCTTCACGGTTGCACCAGTCCGACCTCTCGAGGTTGGTCGATTTGCGGCTCTCGTAGTCGAACTTGATCCGCTTGGAGCGCTCGTCGTATTCGACGCATTGGGGGCCAGCTCGAATGCATCATTCACATATGTTCATGGCGCCCTGCACAGCGCTAGGACTGCTCCTTCCACCTTCACGCTTGATGATCTGGTCCAAGTTCAGCATCTCGTTGGTGCGGCCCTTCTGCTGCCTGGTCGTGGTGACATGGCCCCTCTGCTGCTGGCACACCGCGCACCGCTTGGAAGCCCAATCCTGGCGGCACTCCATCTGCCCACCACGATTCTTTTTGTCGTATAGTTCCTTTTCGGCCAAGTTCGCTTGCAGCCACAAGTAGAAACGCTTACCAACCTGAGACTTCATACCGAATTTCACGTCGTCCGCCGCGACCTCCTCGAGGAAGTGCCCCCTCTTGTGCTGGAGGCCGCACGCGGTGACGCCCTCGTCGACGTCGTCGGGCGCCTCCTCAGGCGCGCGGGGCGTGCTGTGGGCACCCTGCAGGGCCTGGAACAAAGCCACCAGCTGCATGTCAAGATTGATGACGGACTGCACGGCGTCGGGCTCAGGCGTGGTCATCGAGGACTTCTTCTCCTGCAGGACCGCGGCGGCTGCCGCGGGCAGCTCCGACTCCTCGACTGGCCTTAACTTCCAGTTCCGAGGAGCTCGAGCTAGCTCGGCCTCTACCCTCGACGGCTCTGGAGCTGCAGCTGCCTGATCGGACTGCCGATCGCCCTGACTGGGGGCGCAACGGAAATGATGAGGACGAGGAGGACGGCGGGGAGGAGGAGGAGGAGGAGGAGGCGGAGGAGGAAGAGGAGGAGGAGGAGGAGGGAGGAGCGATGAGAAGGAGGGGGACGATGAGGAGGAGGAGGAGGACAACAAGGAGGAGGAGGAGGAGGAGGAGGAGGAGGGAGGCTGAGAAGGAACCAGGCTATAGTTGTGAGAATAACCAGGGGTATGAGGATGAGAGTGGGGTCCTTGATGGAGGTCTTATCCCCCAGCTTCTGCCGCTTCGCGCTGGGCACCAGGAGACCGCTGGCAGCCTCTGGAGGATGATAGGAGTAAGGATGAGGAGGAGGAGGAGGAGGAGGAGGAGGAGGAGGCGGAGGAGGAGGAGGAGCAGGAGGAGGAGGAGGTGGAGGAGGAGGATGAGGAGGAGAGTGGGTGATGAGGAGGACGAAGCCTGCTGCTCCAACTTCGTCCCCGCGAGCGCGCCCTCGGTCGGCTCGCTGTCGCTGCCGACGGTGATCGGGCTCTGCTGCCGCTGCTCGGGCTGGACTGGCTCCTCTGGAGGAGGAGACGGAGGAGGATCAAGAGAAGGAGGAGAAGGAGAAGGAGGAGATGAGGAGGAGGAAGAGAAGGAGGAGGAAGATCCTCGGCTGCCGCCCCAGCCGCCGCCCCAGCCGCCGCCCCAGCCGCCGCTCCAGCACTCTGGCTGTCGGGCGGCACGCCGTCGGGCAGGGTCTCGGGGGTGGGCGGCTGCGCGGGCTCCACGGGCTCCGAGGCGGCGGCGCCGACGACGAGCGGCACCGAGTGGGCCTACAGAGCGGAAGAAGGATGAGGAGAATGAGAAGGAGGATGATGAGGAGGAGGAGGAGGAGCAGGAAGGCGGAGGAGGAGGAGGAGGAAGGGGGAGAGGAAGAGGAGAAGGAGGAGGAGGAGGAGGAGGAGGAGGAGGAGGAGGAGTTGGAGGAGGAGGAGGAGGTGGAGGATGTGCCTTGCGGAGCTCGTTCCACATCTCGCTCGTCCTCCGCATCTGCACCTGCCTCTGGTGTAGCCGCGCTGCAGCGGCTGTGAGACAGTTCTCCATGGCCCTGCTGCTCGAGCGATGGGGATCTATAGTCACCCTTGTGGCCAGAGTTGCTGCGGAAGGGGGGACCACAGGGACGCTTTTCGGGAGTGTTGTTTCGGCGCCGAGTTCTGATCTGCCGACTTCGAAATCTTCGGGGTCCTCAGGGACCTCACGGGGACCTCACGGGGACCTCTCGGTATGGTTTCGTCTGCTTTACTGCGTGGGGTGTGCTCTGGTAATTTTCGTGCAGGGGAGGGGGGGTAAACCGGGCTCCATGGAGTGCGCGGGACCGGCCTCGAGTCCAGGAAGGGGGGGGGCGAGGGGGAGTCCAGGAAGGGAAAGGAGGATGGGGGAGGGGGAGGATGAGGAGGAGGAAGAGGAGGAGGAGGAAAGGAGGATCGGAGGAGGAGGAGGAGGAGGAGGAAGAGGGGGGGGAGGACGAGGAGGAGGAGGAGGAGGAGGAGGAGGAGGAGGGGGAGGAGGAGGAGCAGCCGCAGCTTACGGGGAGACGAACGTTTTCGACCCTGCAGCCCATAAGTCTACAACACCAACGGCGGCGGCGCGATGGTGCGAACAGCGCCCAATGAACTGCTGGCCGTGCTCTGCGGCCTCCTCTGCGGAGTAGTTGGATGGTCGGCTGCTTCTCGTGGTGCTGCTGCTGGTGCTGCTGGTGGTGGTGTTGCTGCTGCAGCTGGCTGATCAGCTGCTGCAGCTTGTGGATCAGCTGCACGCTCTTCTGCAGATGCTGGGCGCTTCATGATCGCGCCTTGGTCCGCTGCTGCAGGGCGTTTCTCGCTGACCTCACCTGCGGCCGGTGACACCTTGTCCCTCTCCGTCGTTGCTGCCTGCTCCCGCGTGATCTCTCCCTTGGACAACTTCAGCGCCACCGCATTTTGAAACTTGACTGCTGCTTCGCATTGTTCCCGCTCGGTGCTGCCCGAGAACCACTTGACGTTCACTTGCATGATTTGTCCTTCTTTGTCTTTGATGCACAGCAGCTTGTGCGTTGGTTTTCCTTTCGGAGTGTCAGTGCGGTAGATCACCCTGATGGTGCCGTCGTCGAAATAGGCCAGATGTTCACCTCCTGGCGCAGGAATCTTCTGGTTCCTCATTTTCAAGAAGGTGTTCTCTCCATGATCGATGGTCGCTTTCGCCTTCGCCTTCGCCTTCGCCTTAGGCTGGAGAGGTTGCGCTGCTTCCCACCTGGCCACCGTGACTGGCATCTCCGCCTGGTAGCCGTCGCCCCACGCGCACAGCATTTTAGCGGTCGCTTTGTCACCTGCGGCTGCAGCAAATACAAAAGAAGGGCGGGGGAAGAGCAGGATGATGCGGAGGAGGAGAAGGGCGGAGGAGGAGGAGGAGGAGGAATGGAGGAGGAATGGAGGAGGAGAGCGGAGGAGGAGGAGGAGGAGGAGGAGGAGGAGGAGGGAGAATGAATGAGGAACAGCCGTACGATTTTGGTTTCGAAGAGTCTCCGTTTGGGCCCCAAGGTCAGGGCCCCTCGAGCCCTGTGTATTTTGTGTGGGGGTGTGTTAGTTGTTTTTGTTTGTTCTTTTTCTGACGTCTGTGACCGTCTGGAACCACCATGTCCCCCCAGTCGTAGGATCGGCCGTCCCTGGAGCGGTAGCCCTGGTTGCTGACGCGGTCAAAGCCTGTCTGCCACGTTGCAGCAGGCCGTTTGAAAGCCTGCGTCTCGCCACCATCGGGGTCGATGGGCAAGTCCGCCTCGAAGTCCCCCTCCTCTTCGGCCTCCTCGTCCTCGCCCTCGTTCTCCTCGTCCTCCTCGTCCTCCTCGTTCTCCTCGAATGTCTCGGGGGTGATGCTCTCGGCGACAGCTTGTGTCTGATCTCCGTCATCATCACCCTCGGCTGGCAGGTTTTTGGCAGACTCGCGCATCGTGTCCCACGTGTCGGGGTCAAACGCTTCCCTGAACCAGTCGGTATCCCGTCTGCACCTTTCACGCGCGTGGCTAAGTAAAGTGCGAACTCGTTTGTCAACGGCAGTGGTCCAGGAAAGTATTTTATCATCTTTGAGTCTCCATGTGTTCCTGTTGTTCTGCACATGGATCTCCAAGGCAGGCTTCAGCACTGTAGAGGCCAATCGAAAACCACTCACATTGAACAGATCTGCTATCAACTTTGAATGTGCTAGAAGCTTAGGCCGATCGACAGAACTCTGGCCCATGTTCTCCTTGCAAGACACAGAGTTCGGAGTGAGCACGTGCTTCTTCAGCACCGATTTAACACGAGCTACATCGCCGCCACCTTTTGCTCGTTCAACCGCTGTGGGTTTGCGTTTCAACGCCTCCGTCATCTGAACCGAAACACCTGCGAGTGACAGGAGTCCATGGAGAAACTGTGGGACCTTTGTAGGTCCAGGCGCCAGACGACGCGAGAAGCGGGTCGGTAAACTTGGAATCGCATGGTGCAAAACTTGTCACACATTGCGCAGCCAACGTGACCCAACGAAAACACGACACTTGGCATGGGCGCATGAAATCAGCTGATCGTCCTGCTCCAAGTTCTCAGAGCAAAAGTGTTTGAGACATGTCTTCGGGGTTATGTTAATCGTCCAGCTCCGAATTCTCAGAGCGAAAGCGCGTGAGATGTTCTTCGGCTTTATGTTAATCGTCCTGCTCCGAACTCTCAGAGCAAAAGCGTGCGAGACATTTCTTCGGAATTATGTTCATCGTCCAGCTCCGAATTCTCAGAGCAAAAGCGTGTGATATGTTCTTCGGATGTCTGCTAATCTTCCTGCTCCGAACTCTCAGAGCAAAAGCGTGTGAGACATTTCTTCGGATTGAATTAATGTACTTACAAGATAAATGTATATTGCATAGATTGAAATTTAAATTTTGTAATATTACAACTCAGGTAAACATACATTGCATGAGTTGAAACGAGCTAAAGCACAGTGGTGCTTGAATCCACTTGTTATGTGTGATTTAAGCACCACGTGCGAATCCCGATTGTGGTGCTTAATTTAAGCACCGTTTACCCTGAGGGCAGGCCCCACCGGCACGCCAGGGGCGGCCGCGGGGTTAGGGGACACCTCCACGGAGGCGGCCGGCTCCGCGGGCGGGGGGGAGGGAGGCCCCCCGGTTGCCCCCAGCGCGGGCTTCCCCTCCGCAGGGCCCGCAGCGGGGACCGCGGAGGGTTCGGCGGCTGGCCCGGCATCGCTTAGGCGTGCTGGGTCAGGGGGGGACTTGCTAGTGTCCGCCCTCCCCCCCCCTCTCGAGCAGGCTGCGGAGAGGGGTTCGCGCGCCTGAGGCAGAGGCGCTTCCCACCGAACCCGGGCCCCCCAATGTGCCAGCAGCCTGGCTCCGAGCACTGGAGGCTCAGGCGGAGGTTGTGGTACTCCAGGCCGTGGTAGCGGCACTGGCAAGCCATCGGTGCCCCTCCCCCGTTGCGCGGCCACCCCCGGGTGTCAGACGTGGGCCCGTCCTCGATGAGCAAAGGGGTGGGCTTGGGTCCCCTCCGATCCTCGCAAATGCCATGCTTCTGGAGGCAACAGTACCCTCCCTTCGCGTCCATCCAGCCCACTGCTTCGGCCATGCAGGGTTCCCAGTCGTCTTCCTCCTGCTGAGGTCCCCAGGGGTTCGCGGCGACCTGGCGCGGCCCCGGCCGGCGCAGGCGGGCCCCCCTCCGGCAGCAGCAACACCCCCGGGCCAAGAAGGAATGGGCGATGCGCTGGATCCCACCCCAGAATGCCCTCCAGAGGGTGCGGAAGCTGGCCAGGAAGGGGCTTCCCAGGTCCCTGTCCTCGGTGAGGTCGAGGATGGCCTTGGCGTCGACCGCGGTATACTTCCGGAAGTGCATGGCGAAGGCGCCCACGCTGGGACAGCCGCCCACGGGTCCCGCCCTGCAGAGGTGGACCACCTTGGCGTCCGCACCCTCCAGGCGGCGTCGGAGGTCAGGGTCCGTGCAGTCATGCACCCGGGCGTACGGGAAGTCCTGGCCCGCCCGCTTCTCCTTCCGGATGGGGTCACCGTACTGCCCTCGATCCAGGCGCACCCGCTGGCCCCCGACTTCGGCCACGAGGTGGTTGGGCAGCCTCGGGGGCCGGTCGCTCCTCCCTCGGATGATGTCCTTGAAGAAGTCGTCGTCCACGGGTTGGGCATCGGGCCCCCTCCAGTCGAGATCGAGGAGGAACCGGCGGTTGTCCTCCACCCGGGTGCAGAAATCGCGGAAGGTGGGGGAGCGCCTCAGACGGCGGTAGAACCAGAAAAAGGGGCGGGCCAGGTGGTCGAGGAGGAGGACCAGAAAGCAGATCCCCATGGCATGGCGCCCAGGTAGAAGGAGCCCAGCACGTACACGCCCACCTTAAAGCTCACCCACCTTTCCCCCACGAAGACGGTCAGGCCGGCATCCAGCCATCCGTAGGACCACATGATGAGGCGGAAGAAGAAGTTGGGGCTAGGGACGCTCCGGACCTCCAGCACCACTTCCCGGCGGCGGCCGGCAAACCAGTGGTTCTCCCACCAGGGGGTCTCGCCCGCCCCCTCCTGCTCCTCCTCCGTGGGGGTGGGAGAGGCCCACTTCAGCCATTCCACGAACTCCTCCGCGGGGATTTGCTTGGACCAGGGCAGCCCGTCCCCCGGCTGCGGAGCGGGGGAGGTGCGCCCCCCGCGGAGGGCCGAACGCGGCGGGGGGACGGTTCCCGAGCCTGGCCCCGCAGGCGCGGGGGGTTCGGCGGGGGCGGAGAAGCTCCACCAGAACGGGGTCGGCGTCCCACCTGGGGTGTCCCCCAGCGGGGTCGGCGAAGGCGTCCTCACTTCGGCGGGACTCACCGCCGGCGTGGCAGACGGGGGGGCTGGCGTGCGGGCCCACCCAGGGGGGTCGCCCCAGCGTCCGGGCGGCGCGCCCACGCCTGTGGGGCTGGCCTGCGGCGATGCCGGGGCGAACGCGAACGACGCGAAGTCCCCCCACCAGAGGGGGGTAGGCGTGCCACCCGGGGTGCTGCCTTGGGCCGAGCCTCCCGCCCTGGCGGATCTCCCCGGGATGGGGGAGAGGATGGGGGTCAAAGTAGGGGCTGCGACGTTGGATGAGGTGGGGAAGTCCCCTCCCTCCCCGAGAGATAGCTCGGGGTGGTTCCCGGCCTGAGCGGCGGCCGGGCCTGGGGCTGCGGGGGCGTCCGGCCCAAGGGCCCCCTGTCGAGGGGGAGACTGCTCCTTGGGGTCGCCACCCGGATAATGCTCTAGTGGATCAGGTGGGGCGTCATCCAGCCCGCAGGTGATAGGGTCCCGTGGTAGCCAAACGGGGTGCCCGTATCCCCTCCGCGCCCCGTGGGGCGGGTGGGTCCCTGCGGCGAGACGGCCCACTCCACAGAGGACCGCGGCGGCCGAGATGAGCGGGACCGCCAAGCACGCGAGGCCAAACATGAGTTAAGGGGGTGCACCCCCTCCGCAAAAAGCGCTGCTTAACCTAAACAGCTGCGGGAGCAGGGAGGAGGAGGGGCGACAGAGCACTACGGCCAGGGGGGGATGCAACCGTTTAGGCGCATGCCAAACGAAACCATATATATATATATATATATATATATGTGTACGTATACACACACATATATACACACATATACAAACGTATAAATATGTGTGCGCATATACATATGCATAATCATATATATGTATATATACATATATACATATATATATATACATATATATATAGAGAGAGATAGAGAGAGAGAGAGAGAGAGAGAGAGAGAGAGAGAGAGAGAGAGAGAGAGAGAAAAAAACACCTCAAAGCAACACTCGATCGGATGATGCCGAAACATATATCGCCCCCAGCGTTTTCGCCTGGCTTCGGCCCACGGGACCCTCACATATCAATCCGTGCCCTCGATAGACCCAAGTAGCGGTGCGATGGCGGAAAAATGGAGGGAGGAGGTGACGGCGATACCCCTTGTGCATCGGGTGGCGGCACCCCAGGACCTGGCACAGGGCCCCTGTCACCCACAGGAAATTGATCCCCCCCATGCGATGAGAGTGCGACACCAAGGTAGGGGGGCGGGGAGAGCGTCGGGGCCCATTCCGCGGCACCGTCGCCACACGCGCCACCGCGCGCACAGAGGCCGAAAAGCGCGGTCTCGAAGCCTGGCCCATACCCCATCGGGTCTTCCACGGTTGGCTTGACCGCCTGCGGCCAGGGGGTGCTCTTCTCGCCGGGCCCGTCGACGCCGGCGGGCCGAGCGCGCGCGGGGCCCAGGAGCGGCCTTCCCCCGACGAGGCCGCCTCCGTGACGCCCAGGCGCCCCCGCCCAGCCGCCATCTCGCTGCGTGGACGGCGCCGTGCTAAACCATCCCCAGCGCCAGTTGGACGACCAAGCCGCTCTCATCTCCGAGAGGCCCGCGGCGGGGCGGCGAGTCGCAGCGAAGGTCGGCCCCGACCCGCTCGGGGACCCCTGGCCCTGGGGAGCCGAAGCCGCCAGCGAGACTGACCCCGATGTAGGCAGTCCGTCTCCTGCGTCGCTGCGGGGCGATCGCCTCTTCGCCGGCGGCGCGGGCGAGCTGCCCCGCGGGCAAGACGTCGCCCGGCCGCGGAGGCCCGCTCGCAATGCGGCGCTGCACCGCCTGGCCCACCACTCGGAGGCGCGGCGGGCGCCGAAGGGACCGACGGCGCCGCCGTGGATCTCGCCCTCGAGCTCGCCGGCCGGCGCGCCCCAATCGCCCTTGCGGACCATGATGAGCCAGCGCGTTCCAGCGGCGTCGGTAACGAGCGAGAAGAGGACCTCGCGCTGGCCCCTGTAGTTGCCAGACATCCAGCTCCTCCACGCTGGCCGCGGCGCCCTCCAGGGTCTGCCGCACCAGAGTTAATTGTTCGCCGCATCCTCGAGCGCGCCAACTTGCCCGAAGCGCCCCTGGCCGCTTGCGCCCTCCAGCACTACCGACGCTGCCCTGGGGCCGTTGCCAAGGAAGCGTCAGCGCAGCTGCTCCTTGAACACATTGGCCGTCTTGCCCGCTTCCACCACGTCTGCGAGGCTTACCCGGGGCGCGTCGCCGCGGTCCTCTACGCCGCTGTCCTTGGCCGCCTCTGGGACGGCCCAGTTGGCCGCCTCTTGGCATTGGAGCGCGGCCAGGGGGCGACGCGCCATCGCGCGGGCTAGGCCCCCGTCCCGAAGGGCCGCGCGGGGCCCCGCCGCCGCTCGCGCTCGCGCCCACCTGCGGGGGGCCAAAAGACCCACCCCCCGATCGGGCGCGCCTGCGCAGCCATCTCGCACGGGGGGCGCTCCGCGGCTGACCCGCCGCCCGCGGCCCGCGCGCCATCCTGGGCGAGCTCGGCCCCGGCGCCCAAGCGACGGGACACCCGCGCCGTCACAGGGGGCCACGCCGGGCCCTCGGTGCACTCGTCACTGCGCGGAGCCCGAACGCCTCCGAGCTGGCCGGGCGGGCTCGAGACCTGCGGCACCCATTCGCGCAGCTGCGGTGGCCTCGGCGGCGGCGCGCCCGTCGTCGAGGACGAGGGGCCCGTTCGTCGTCGGCGGCTGCCGTCTGCGGGCGGGGAGTTGCTCGCGAAGGTCGCCCCCCTGGCCGCCATCGAAATCCGAGGAGGCGGGGTGCCCGCTCGCCGCTCGCCAACAGGCGCGTCGACGTTGAGCTCTGTCCTTGATCTCCCCCAGGTGGTGCCCCAGTGATGCCTGGCACATGCGCTCGAAGGTCAGCCTGAGACTTTCTCGTCGCCCTCGCCCGCGCCCCTGCGCAGGCCCCGACAAGCTCGAACCCGAGTTTCTCCTCGACGCCCTCCTGCTGAGCCTCGCCTGGCGGCGCGCGCGCACCTGCCTCCCCGCCCTTCGAGAGGGCCCGCGGCGGCGCGCCTGCGAGCCGTCTCTCGATCGCAGCCGCGCGGGCGGCGCCAAGGGTGAAAGCCTGCTAGGCCAAGCTTGCTAGGCCCACTGCGGGGCCTGCGAGCCTCGACCCTGGCCAAGCGAGGTCAGCGTCGATGCGGGATGGACAAAAACGGCTGCGGATCGCGCGACGACCCAGCTGTCCCGACCGCGCGACGCTCCAGCAAAATGCGGTTGGACTGCGCGGCCCCGAAGCCCTGCCCGCCTCCCATAATAAGGACCCAAACCGTCTGAGCACTCCACCACGCCAAGGCCCCCGCCCCCGCCCGCGGCGGAACGAAGGGGGGCCGCGGACGGTCGGGCACCGTTCGACGGGGGTCCGGGGCTATTCCAGAGGCGCGCCAAAGGGCCCAGCTGAAATCCCATGCCAGAGCGTCTGTCGCCTGCTCGACCCCCGGGGCCAGGGGGTGCTGCGCCGCCCCGCGGCGGGTCAGCCAGGCCAGAGAGGAGGACGATGCGAAGGTTTTTGTGCCTGGCGCGGCTCCCCTCGCACCGCGCCCGACGCCGGCTTCGAGCGGCTGCCCGTTCTGACGCCCTGCCGCGCCACGCCGCGCGGCGGCCGCCTCGCGTGCCTGCGCGCCGACGAGGCACCGGCCCCGAAGGGTCGCATGGGACCCCGCTGCTGGCGCCAAAAAATCTGACCGATGCACCGCGTGGCCTTGCAGCTCAGTTGGGCGCAGTGTGCAGCCAGTCTTCGGCGGCTAGCTGCTCAGGCCGTGCGGCGGCCAGCAGTCTCCCTAGCGCACCGACGGAGATCCCGTCCGAAGGGTCGTCTGGAGCCCCGCCGCCGCTGGCACCGGGCATTTTTGCCGATGCACAGCATGTGGATTGCCGATCAGCTGCGGCTGCAGCACGCAAGCGGTTTCTTCGTGGCCTCCTGCTGGCGCTCGCACGCACGATCCCGCAGTCGATGCGCCTTGTGCTTTATGATTCCATTATCATGTGGGTTGCCGCCCGGAACAAGCAGTCGAGGGGCTGTCACGCTCCTAAGTGACCAGCACGGGGCAAACCTCTGGTGGACGGCAAGCGCGGCAGTTGCCCGTGGACTTGTCCTGGGCGAGGGGCTGGTCCTCGCAGTGGGGGCGGACGCCCAGCTCCTCGAGTTTCACCATGGTGTTCCTCTCCTCCGAGTGCGTGGCCACATGCTTGATAAGCTTATGGTAGGCCTCCTCGTTGCAGGCGTCGATGGCTTCCATGACCGCGCCGACCTCCTTCCCCATGAGGCCGCCAAAGGAAAATCTCAACGCAACCTGGGCCTAAATGGTTTGACGAGTTCCGCCTTCTCTCTGCCCAGAACCCTCCTTTCCCTGCTCGGGAGAGGGGTTGACCCCTCGCCTGGGCCTGGGAGGGGGGGGGGGGCGGGTAGTCTGAGCGTCCAAGATGGCCCAAGATGGCTCCAGGAGGGTTTCAGAGAGCCCAAGATGGCCTCCAAGAGGGCTCCAGATGTCTCCAAATGGCTCAAGATAGCCTCCGACAAACATCCAAGAGGCCTGAAGACGGCCCCAGGAGGGTTTGGCTCCACGGCCGCCAGACAAACGGCACCAGGCATGGAGAGCTGGTCCCAGGGGAGGGCTCGAGGCCCCCAGGGTCCACGCTGTGAACAAACTCCGGGCGTCGGGTGCATGGGAAAGCCGAACAACAGAAGACACATAGCCCGTGGGCGTCCTGGGGCGTTATGGGCTCCACGGCTGGAGTCTCCTCGAAACTCGAATCACAATGCCCCCTGGCGCCAGGCCCGAAGTCGATTTTGCACCCAGTGCGCGGCACTCGGACGTCCGAGCGGACTGCTGGGGTCGGTGCCGAGAAAAGTGTTACGCCGGGCGTGCCCCCCTACAGGCGGACTTTGAAGGAAATATGAAAAAAAATCGAAACTGGTCAAACTATTACTTATCAGAATGAGGGGGCCGAACGGTCATTCACTGTCCCTGGGTGCGTGGCTGAAGTGGGATTCCGCGGTGCGGAATATTGTTGTTGTTGTTGTTGTTGTTGTTGTTGTTGTTGTTGTTGTTGTTGTTGTTGTCGTTGTTGTTTGTTGTTTGTTGTTGGTGGTGGTGGTGGTGTTGTCGTTGTTGTTGATGTTGTTGTTATTGCTGTTGGTGTTGGTGCTGTTGTTGGTGTTGTTGTTGGTGGTGTTGTTGTTGTCGTTGTTGTTGTTGGTGGTGTTGTTGTTGTTGGTGTTGTTGGTGGTGTTGTTATTGTTGTTGGTGGTGTTGGTGTTGGTGTTGGTGTTGGTGTTGTTGTTGTTGTTGTTGTTGGTGTTGTTGTTGCTGTTGCTGTTGCGGTTGTTGTTGTTGTTGTTGTTGTTGTTGTTGTTGTTGTTGTTGTTGTTGTTGTTTATGATGTTGTTGTTGTTGCTGCTGTTGTTGTTTGTCGTCGTCCCACCCGCACACCGCCCCGCGACCCAACCGCGACCCACCCCGCGACCCACCCCGCGACCCACCCGCGACCCACCCGCGACACACCCGCGACCCACCCCGCGACCCACCCCGCGACCCACCCCGCGACCCACCCCGCGACCCACCCGCGACCCACCCGCAACCCACCCGCGACCCACCCCGCGACCCACCCCACGACCCACCCGCGACCCCCCCGCGACCCACCCGCGACCCCCCGCGACCCACCCCGGCGCCCACCCCGCAACCACCCGCGCGACCCACCCCGCGACCCCCCGCGACCCACCCGCGACCCACCCCGCGACCAACCCGCGACCCACCTTCGACCCAAACCACGTTCAAGGTACAAACCACCATTTTCGGCGCCTGCGGCGGGTTATTTTTGCATTCCTTCCAGGCGGAGAGCCCGCGACCCACCCCGCGACCAACCCGCGACCCAAACCACGTTCAAGGTACAAGCCATATTTTTCGGCGCCTGCGGCGGGTATCTTTTGCGTTCGTTTCACGCGGAGAGCCCGCGGCCCACCCGCGACCACGTTCAGGGTACAGGCCAAATTGTTCGGCGCCTGCGGCGGGCATCTTTTGCATTCGTTCCCGGTGGAGAACCCGCGGCCCACCCGCGACCCAAACCACGTTCAGTGTACGTACAAACCAAAGTGTTCGGCGCCTGCGGCGGGCTGCTTTTGCATTCCTTCCAAGTGGAGGTGGAGAGCCCGCGACCCACCCGCCACCCAAACCACGTTCACTGAATTACTCACTGCGTGGGGCTCCCCATATATGCATCTCATGTTTTATGTCATGCCGTGGCGAGCGTCTGTTCATGAGCGGTCGACTACAATAGCGCGTCCACGTGGGCGACAGGGCCGACGAAGACGAGTGACCCCTAATGCGAGTGATTGCGTATGAGTCAGAGTGAGCTTTGAGTACGGTTGAATGCGAGCCTCTTCCTCTTCATCCCCCCTCCTCAGCTGCCAGGCCTTCCCCTTTTCAGCCCGTGGTAGCTTTGGAGCTTCCCACATGTGCATATGTTGTAGGATAGTTGGCAGTGGGATATGTAAGACGAGCGTTTAGCCACACAAGGCCATAAGTGCATGTCATGTTGGAGGATAGTGCCACGGTGAGCATTTCCAACGATCCCCGCACACAACCACAGCCCCCCCTCGCAGTCACCCCCTATGAATACACATATATATATGTGTATATATATATATGTATATATGTCCTGGACTTCGGAACAAACGTTCTGCTCGCGTCAAGGACCTTCGAGCAAAGCGCCCTCCTCCTCCTCCTCCTCCTGTTCCTCCGCCCCCTCCCTTCTCCTGCTCCTGCTCCTCCTCCTCATCCTCCTGCTCCCCCTCCCCCTCCGCACCCCCATGCCCTTCCTCACGATCCCCCGCCTCCTCCTCCTCCTCCTGTTCCTCCTCCTCATCCTCGTTCCTGTCATTTCCCTCCCTGTTGAGCCCAGAAACAGGCGAACCGCCTGAGACATCCCCACAATATGGCCGCGAACGTGCCCGTGCAACCACCCCTGGCGGCTCCCTATAGGGGTGCTGCAACCAGCGCCCCGCTTGAGACATCGTCACAATCTGCTCTCCAAGCGAAGGATGTTGAGCCCAGAAACAAGCAAACCGCCTGAGACATCCCCACAAAATGGCCGCGAACGAGCCCGTGCAACCACCCCTGGCGGCTCCCCTTAGGGGTGCTGAAACCGGCGCCCCGCCTGAGACATCGTCACAATCTGCTTTCCAAGCGAATGATGTTGAGCCCAGAAACAAGCAAACCGCCTGAGACATCCCCACAAAATGGCCGCGAACGAGCCCGTGCAACCACCCCTGGCGGCTCCCCTTAGGGGTGCTGAAACCAGCGCCCCGCCTGAGACATCCTCAGGATGTTGAGCCCAGAAACAAGCAAACCGCCTGAGACATCCCCACAAAATGGCCGCGAACGAGCCCGTGCAACCACCCCTGGCGGCTCCCCTTAGGGGTGCTGAAACCAGCGCCCCGCCTGAGACATCCTCACAATCTGCTCTCCAAGCGAAGGATGTTGAGCCCAGAAACAAGCAAACCGCCTGAGACATCCCCACAAAATGGCCGCGAACGAGCCCGTGCAACCACCCCTGGCGGCTCCCCTTAGGGGTGCTGAAACCAGCGCCCCGCCTGAGACATCCTCACAATCTGCTCTCCAAGCGAAGGATGTTGAGCCCAGAAACAAGCAAACCGCCTGAGACATCCCCACAAAATGGCCGCGAACGAGCCCGTGCAAACACCCCTTGAGTATGAGTAAGTCTGAGTATGAGTACTGAGTAGGTGTGTGTGAGTAAGTCTGGGTATGAGTAGGTCTGTGTATGAGAAAGTCTGTGTATGTGTACGTCTGGGTATGAGTAAGTCTGAGTATGAGTAATACTGTGTATGAGTAAGTCTGTGTATGAGTAAGTCTGTGTATGAGTACGTCTGGGTGTGAGTAAGTCTGTGTATGAGTAAGTCTGTGTATGAGTATGTCTGAGTGTGAGTAAGTCTGAGTATGAGTAGGTCTGAGTATGAGTAAGTCTGAGTATGAGTAAGTCTGAGTATGAGTAGGTATGAGTATAAGGAGTATGAGAGGAGGAGGGGAGGAGGAAAGAGGAGGAGGGAGAGGCAGTAGGAGGCGTCCAAGTAATAACAAGAACCCCATCTTAGGATATGGGGAACAAACCAATGCCGCACAAGCGCGGCGGCGGATTTTTGCATGCCGTCTGAGCCCGCAACGACCTCTTCAAGCCCCGCGCATCCACACCAGCCCGTCCAGCAACTTTGCCCTGGCGAGTTGCCTTGATCAGAGAAGTCGGGGAGCATAAAGTGGAAAAAGGATTGCGTTGCCGTTATCTTGGGAAAGGAGGGGGAGGCAGGAGGAGTAAACAGGGGACGAGGAGGACGCGGAAGAAGAGAGGATGTAAGGAGAATGTGGAGAAAGAAGAGGAGGAGCAGGAGGACGAGGAGGGGAGGAGGGGGAGGAGGGGGAGGAGGAGGACGAGGAGGGAGGAGGAGAGGAGGGGGAGGAGGATGATGATGGACGACAATGGGAGGACGATGATGGAGGCCGATGAGGGGGAGGACGACAATGGGAGGACGATGATGGAAGGACGAGGGGGGGAGAGGCAGGACGAGGAAGAAGAGGAGGATGACGATGACGATGACGATGAGGACGAAGACGAGGACGAGGAAGAGGAGGAGGAGGAGGAGGAGGAGGAGGAGGAAAGCGCCATCGACAGGGAAGGTGGGGGCCACGAGGTCCGCCGGCTCGACGACGCCCGCGTCGCCCGCGCCCGCCCCCTCACTCTTATCCGCAATTGCGGGGTGCTACGTATAGTCTTGCTTATACGAAGTTTAAAGCACAACAAAAACGGCCCCATACTATTTGTTCATTATTTTCGAACACTCCTCTTGTAGAGGGACAGGCCCGACTTCAGAAAAGCACCCAGATCCTTCCCCTTGCGGAGCGCGAGGCGCCGTCGCCGTCGGGCCTCGCGGACCGGACCGACCCAAAGAGTCCACGCGGACCTCCGAGACGCCTGGCCAGAAGACTGCACCCGAAACGGAAGCGGGGCGGCCCACTGCCCAGGCCCTGGTACAACCACTGCGCGCGGCACAGAGGAGGACTACAGAGGGGGGGGCCAGACCCCACGAGATCTGGGGGGTGGGGGTAGGGCTCGCATGGGGCTCCCCAGACAAGGAGGGGAGAGGGAAGAGCGCAGCATCGGGGGAGGCGAAGAGGCAGGATCGCGCAGGGCGGGGGAGAGAACCAGCTCGCGTGGCTGATCTTCCTGGCGCCTCCTGGCGCCGGGAGGCGCC